CAAATCTTAGTAGGCATAACTATAGCCACTAGTTATCTGGGCATGCCAGCAGCCTTAGGAGTTTTGAGCTATCCTTACCCCCGACTTTTGTTTCATTTTGATACATCTTCTAATAACCCAGTTCGTCTCTCCCCTTTAGACCATTGAACTCCAAACGGTCCTGCAACCAGAACCTCAGAAAATGGCTCCCTTTCACTGAAGGCCCTTAGATAGGCATCTGAGGGAGATCTGACTGCCATCTTCCCAAAACAGTGCCCCTGTCAGCAGGAAGCAGTTAAGATCAGTCTTTGTCCCTATTCTAATGCCAATTAGATGTACCTCTTCAGAGAAGGATTGGTAGAGGCAAGAGGCAGACAAGTGCCTAGGCAGAGAGGGAGCGGTCCCTGGAGAATCTGTGACCCACCTCACGAGTATTTACACCAGTTGTTTTGTGCAGATAAGGGAACCTGCACAGGGGGCTTGTCTGCATGCCTGCAGCAGACTGGAGGGCCACATGCACTGGGGGAATGGGGTGGAGCCACCAGGAATTCACACCTTATGCAAGGAGGAGCCTGGCCTCTTCAACTCATGTGTGGTGGTCCTGGTTCAATTTGTGAGGTGGAAACCTGCTTGCAGGACCCCTCTCTCTTTGCTGAAAGCTTTATTTTCACTTAATAAATTCTGTCCTCTTCACCTTTCAATGTTTCCATGTGCCTAATTCTTCCTTGTCATGAGACCAGAATCCAGATTAGCTGAGCTAAGAAACAAAAAAAAAAACCTTGAATCATTAGTGCTCAGAATAATTGTGTTGCTGGTAAATTTAAATCCATGAAGTACACTTACGTTGAGAAAAATTGTTGGAAACAGAGGAAGTCCTCTGAAAAGGATTCCCCATGCTACTTCTTTGCAAATTATCTTTCTTGTGAACCAACCTCAGACTATTCAGAGAAGTCAGTGCAGGGAACAAAAAAGCAAACACTTTTTTCAGGGCAGATAACAATTACCAATTAACCTTGGATTTAAGAAATGTTTCTTAATATTATACCACTGACAAATAACTATTCAGTTATGATTAGTAGGAGAAAAGATGGACTTATGCACCACACTCAAGAAAGGACTCAGACCTTTGGAGGAAGACAATATAATTCTAAAAGGTGTTTCCTGTCTCTACGATGATTCTAGAATCATTTTTAATGGTGGTGAAGTCACCTTTGCAGAAATTTTAACAGTGAGAGAAAATTATGGCAGTGAAGGAGTTCTGATCTGGCTAATCTCCATCTTGCCTGTGTCCTTCAAGCTGCTCTTAATTATTTCTGGGCTTTGCTCAGGCCAACTTTGGAAGACATTTAGTTGATAGTTTAAATGATTATAGCTCTTGTTTCTCCAAAACTCAGTTGTCTTTGTAAAGCTAATGAGAGAGCACCAGGCTAGGAGGAAGGAGGAGCCTGAATTCTGCTAAGGTAGAGACATAAATGATTGTCAGCCATTATTCTGGAAGTCACAAGATATGCAACTTCCCCAATTACTCTTGCAGATAGAATCACTATCCTAGAACCTAAGACTGGCCTTTTGAGATATATTTTCAGGTTTTCTGGCATGTCTGAGGAGACCAGTGGCTCCACTTGGACCTACCAACTGCTCCTGTGGCCCTACCCAGAAGCAACTTAGCATGCATGAGGACCATTTCCCACACGCCTATGATTACACCCCCAATCAATCAGAAGCAAGCACCCATTGCCTAGCTACTCCCACCCCATCCTGCAAACTATTTTTGAAAAACTCTAGCCCCCACATTCTTGGGGAGATTGATTTGAGTAATAACTCCATTTCACATATGGTGTGGCCAGCCTCATGCCTATTAAACTCTTCCTTTATTGCAATGCCATGGTCTTGTTTTATCTGTGCAATGGGCAGCAAGAGCTCATTGGATAGTTACAGTGGGGTGAAAGTATGAAGCAATTTCATTTTGTCTGATATATATATTTTTTTATCTTGAGGGAAATACTTAACACACTAATGAAAAAATATTACCTAAAATGGTTGTCTTTATCTTATGATCTATACCATCTTACATCAGGCATTGTGGGGAAAAGGTTTGGGTCTCTTAGCCTCTTGGGAGAGCCCTATGACTCAGTCTTGAGTCTGTTTCATTTATTATTAATAATCAGTTGCCACCTGTCCCTGAGGAAAATATGATTGAGAAGAGAGGAAGCATAAGCAGATAGTTTCTCTTGACCTAGTATGATACACAACATACACGTACATACACACAACATACACACAGACATTTGTAGGACATATCTACTAAATGTCTGTATTTAGACAGAACACAGTCTCTCTCTCTCTCCCCCTCTCCTCCATCCCCAACCTCTCTATCACCTTTATGTGCATTAATTCCTCTCCAGTTTTTTTTCTCTCAGCATGAGAAGAAAAATTTAAAGTACCTTTGAATTGCAGTACCACACAAAGAGAACATGTAAAAATCAGCATACAATGCATCTTCAGATTTGCAATTAAAATATAGTATTTGCTGCATTGCAGATTGAAAGCATCTAGGTGGGGGACTAAGAAATAATGATAGTTTAAGTTCATGCTTTATTTTATCATAGAGAAGAAAGTGATTTCATGAAAGAGTCACTGCTTAACCTACCACAGTCTACTGTCTTCAGACATCATTGCTTCTCACCACTAGACAAGGACATGAAATTTTTATGAACAATCCCACAGAAATAATTGTTGCCTTTTTGCCTTTTGAGACTCCCATATTGTTCTTTTCGTGAATCAGCAGGACAGGCTGCCTTATTGGACTGTACTGTGAACATGGAGGAAAACGTAATATGGCTGTATCATTAATTAGAAAGGGATATGGTAAAAATCTGACTGTAGTAAAATAATATGGTATATTCAAACTCACTATATTGTAATAACAAGAAGTATGCTTGAGATACTAATTGTGCTTATTAAATGTGGTATTTTTCTTAAGAAAAAAGAACGATGATTGGACAATGATTTTTTATTCCCTGGTAAAGGAAAACATGCTTGCAGTTTATCGCCCAGCATGTTGTTCTCCTAGATATGAATTCTAGGAAAACTGCTATACTTGAGCACTTAGAGACATGTACAAGAATGTCCTTGCAATGCTGTGTATGTGATAGTAACTCACTGAATCCAAATATTCAGTCATACCATAGTGGATAAACAAAATGAGGCTTATTCATATAACAGAATACTTTGCAGCAGTGCAAATAAATGAATGCATTACATGTTTACACAACCCGGTAATGAAATGTTGACAGGAATAAAAAAGTAAGTCAATTTATGCAATGTTCAGAGACATGAAAAATATAACAATATATTTGGCGGAGATTTAAACATGTGCAATGAACTGATATAAAAAAAACAAAGAACTGATAAGTTCAAATTCAAGGAAGAGAGAAACATAGGACAAGGCAAAAATACATAAAATCTGTCCTAACCCAACCACAATGCAAAAGTATATAAATATTCAATCTTCAAATAATTTTCACTGCACCAGTCATATAACCAAGTTAGTAGTGTTCTACTTTACGGGAGGAGAACTAAAGAAGGTTAGACTGTGAACTTTCCCAGGGGAAGTAACTCAAAGTTAAGATTTAATGTATCAAAACTGAGGAGAACTAGAGGGTAGTCAGTGTTAGGACAGCCAAGGGAGCAGCTGGAAAGGCGCCCAACCCAGACTAGGAGTTCATGTAAGGACTGAGGAGCTTCTAACCTGAAGAAGGAATAGAAAATACATGGAAAATGTAGCCTGGGGAAGATAGTTCTAGGCAGCAAAAGGGAGGTGGTTAAGTTTGGGAATGTAAGATTTTCTTGCAGAGATCTGGAAAGATGATCTGACTGAAGTTGTAAATTAGAGTTGGACCCCAGCCTCCCTGCCATCACTGTGTCCCGGCCACAGACAATGGAGACAGCACAGGGCAGGATTAAAAGTATGGGCTACGGAGTTTGAGAGGTAGCAGGACTGAATCCTCGTCTGCCTCCAGATCCATAAAGCAGCTCTCAATTTCTGTAAAATGGGAATGATGACATCTACTTCTCAGGGTTGAAGGTTAACTCTTTACATGTTATCATTACTAACCTATCCCCTGCTTTGTAGTCAGTGTGATCATTCTAAAATATAACTCTTGCTTCTTTCCCTTTAAAACTCAATGGTTCTTAATTGCACAGAACAAATACTCCAACTCCTTAACGTGCCTTTCAAAGTCTTTTGGTGATTTAGTCCCTGCTTCCCTCTCCAGTTCCATGGATCATGGCCCTTCAGCCACATTAGGCCATCTCAATTCCCCAGTGCCCCATGCCTGCTCAGCTTTGCCTGAAACACATGTCTCCTCACCCTTCCTCACCAAAAAAAGCCTGCTGCTTTTCAGAGCTCAGCTTGGCAATCTTCAATAGGAAACTTTTCATTTAATGAATATGTATATTCAATATGTGTATATATACATGTATAGTATGCATATGTACATAGAGATTATCATTTCATTATCATATCAGAATTTATCTGTATGACACTGTACACTACCTTAGAATGTAAACTTCAAAATTGTTTTAATATATTTTGTATATCAACACAGTGTGCCTAGATAATTAACATTAAACAATAACACCAACCAATTTACTATTTCTTGGGAGCAATTTTTATAAATATGGTAGTTGTTTTAGGTTCTATTGAGAAATAACTCTGTTATATACAATTTTTTAATTAAATAGTTCATAGTTTAACATAAAATATACCCAACCATAAAAGAGCATCAGACTAAGGATAACCATCTTGCTATAAATCAGGGTAGAGTTGGGGAAGTTTTTCTAACTTAGAGTCAACAGTGGGCAATGCTAAAAATAAGATCACAGAGGAAGGACACAAAAGAACTGCCAGCAAACTCAGGAATTGCTGTCGATCTGTATAACGTTCCTTTTTGTGTTTCAACTTCTTCCACAGTGTGACAACTAAACTTTAAGACTGCAACCAGAGGGGCTTCTCTTACCTCTGCATCAAAGCGCGGATCCTGGTAGGCATCACTGATGTTCACTGGAAGGCCTGTTGAAGCAACCAGCTCAGCAACGCTGTTATTTATTAGCCAGTCGGAGTATGATGATTTCTCCATGCTTTCTTTGAAACTATCAGAGCACCAAGGTAGGCAGGAAGAAAAGAGAGAAACATAAGTTTCTTGAAAGCAAACCCTATAAACTACACTAAATAGCAGGATAATCTGTCCTTATTAAGACGTAGTAAGTGACATTAGTCACAAAACAATAGCAAGGTATTATCAGGAGCTACTTCAAAATGACCTACCTGCTATAATGTATAATAATAAAATCCATGGGCAGAAACTATAGATTCCCTATGATTTAGAGAGCAACTGCAGGTTGTATTTAGGTCCCAAAGCTGGCAAACATACATAAGGACCAAAATTAACAATAAGACACCAACAACTAATAAAATTCCATCAATCTCCAGCTTGCCCTGTTTAATTGAACAGACTAGATGTTCTGGCACAAGGAAGAATGAAACCCAAATGGGGAAAAATCAGAAAGTAAATTGGGACTTTAAAAAATTACAAATGCAGCAAAAGAACATATCTAGACTATGGTCTTTTAAATTAATAATTATTTGAAAAACAATTTTACTATCTTAGTAATTATTTTAATAACAATTTTAGTATCTAACTATTTTGGTAATTTCAGAGTATGTTTCTTAACAATAGCACATAGCCTACTTACAAAATCTCACTTAAAAGCCTATTTTAATGCAACTGACCCTTAACATTAATAATTAAACCTCTTTTCATGTTTGATTTGAACAAGGAATTTTATGCTAAATGATTTTGTGAACTTTCCCTTGTATCACTTTCACCACAGACACTACACATACAGAAATGCTGTGAGAATTAGTTAAGACAACCTATTCCTCTCCTCCTTTCCATCTTTGAGCACTGCCAGGAGCAGCAGAGATACAAAATTGAGAACTGTTCAAATTAGTATTGGCAAGGAAAATTTTCCTAGAGGATGTCCGATTTGTGGCTTGGCAAGTGATAACTGAAATTATGTGAATGGATGCAAGTATACTAGGGCAAGGTTTTCAAACTACCTTCTGTGGAACCCTGGGTTTCATGATATGTTAATGAGTATACTACAGCAAGAATAATAATCACTCTATTGGCTTTTTAATCTAAACTGCACTATATGTAAGAAAACACTAAACACACATATCATCTTTGTTATTTTGCAATAATGTGCCTGTGTGAAATTATGCCATGCCGAAAAGGCAGGAAACTGCATGGAAGGGCCATTGGATGCATGAGTGAGTAGGACACATAGATATTATTTGCCATCATTAATATAACTCATCTGTAATGATTGCTGGCCTTTGTCTGATAAATTCAGCATGTATTTGTAATGTTATTTATCCCTTATTGCATATTAAACATTAATAACACATAAACTTATTCTCTGTGGCTCTCTGGCTGAAAAATGGAAGTTTTAATAAAAAGCTGAGTCTCGTAGATCTTAGATGGCGCCTAAATCAAAGAAGTAAAAAGACTGAGTACTTAGAAGAGAAAGCTTTATTTTCTAAAACAAAACCAAACAAAAGAATAAACAAAAAAGTCTTTATTTTCTCTTTGCTGTTTTATACCTGTGTGCTGAAATTTTATGTTGTGCTACAATGAAAGCAAAATCTAAGAAGAAACATGAAAATGCACCTCATATGAAAATCTAACTTAATGAAATCATTCCTAGGTTTATAAAAGAGTGTGGGATAAATTCTGATCTTTCTTTCAGGGATTAATTGGCTTACCAGTACTTTATTCCACATTTTAATTTTTAAGGTGTTCTGACCACATTGTTTTGAAGCTGCTGACCTACAGTGTTCTGTGGAGTGTGGGAAGCAGCGCTGCAGCAGGAGCTGGAGAGAGGTCTGGGTATAGAAGTCAAGGGAGGAACTTGAGAAGTGGTGGGGTAGCAGGGAGCTCAAAGGAGCCAGTTTTGTCAGTAAGTGTCAGCAACTTTCAAGCTGGGTATTTCAGGATGAGAAAGAGTTCAGGAAGGAGAGATTGGAGGCATTAGAAGGAAACAGCAGGAACAAAAGACACAAATGCAGCAGAGTGTGTTCTTGGCACGATGAGTAATCGTATGGTGGAACAACACTGAAAAGGAGGTCAAGGGTCAAAGGTGAGGCCCTCACCGAGTTGCTGAGACCTTAGTTACAGGCAATGGAGAACTGTTTTTAAGAACACGGAGCAGGGGAGTGATGTGGTTTAAGATGTGATTTTAGAAAGCTTAATCCAGGGACAATGAGCAAGAAGACCTGGGTAGGGAACACTGAAGGTGAGAAGAGGTCTGGTAAACCACAGAAGTCATGCAGATGGGAGGCAATGGTGCTGGTGACTCAAGACGTACCACAGAAGATTCCACAGGCTCCGTGGCCAGATAGCGGCGGCTTACCTTTTGCTCCCGAGTGCCTGTGGCCCTATTAGCAGAATGCAGTTGTTTTAAGGAGTGGGGAGATAGGGAAAGATGACAGATATTCTGTAAGCCTAGAACATATTCATTTTTGAAAATCCAGGGACAAAACTTTATTAGTCCTCAGAACTTAAAACTCTAATCCAGAGTTAGGATAATTTTCAGGGAGAGTAAAATGCATGAGATCACTCAGGGACAGAACACACAGGGAAATCTATATCTAGGGGAGGGAAGGAGAAGAAATTTTAAAGAGGAAAAACTTAAATTTATTGCTATCTACTGTGGGCCAAGGGCCAGGCCAGATACTTTACCTAACCAATTTGTTTTGTCCTTAGATAAATCCTATGAGATAGATATGCTTCTCTATATTTTATGGATTGGAAAATGGAGACCTAAAATGCTCAATAACTTTCCCAAATGGAGATAAGATTTTACCTAAATCTGACTCCAAAGTCCTAAATTATACTATTTTTTTTCTGTTACCTTTCAGAAGGAGTTAATGGATAGGCTTATAGCAAGAATAGGGTGGGTCGTCACCTAAGAACAAAAAGGGAGGGGCAGCCCACATCAGAGAGAGTTTAAAGATGCTGCTAAAGAAAATAAACACTTCAATCTGAGACTTTAGTTAGAGGAAGGGGGAGGAAAAACCATTGGAGTTGATAATTAAGAGCTTTAGATCCCTAATTACAGAATTCCCAAAGAAGATACAATGACAAAAACACTTACTGAGCAGGGACTCCTGAAAAACACATTCTAAATCTAAAACATGCTTAGAATTTGACTTGGTTCAGTATGCATACTGCATTGAAATCATTGTAAAATCATTGAACAGTGTAGAAGGAATATTGACTCCTGTGCAAGGCACGGTTGAGGCAGTTTCTAAAGCATAAGCTATGATCTCTGCCCTCAGGGAGCTTGCTACTTAGCTGGGGAGATGAGAAATAAACACACTGACATTTAAACAATGCAAAAATTAAATGCCCAGTTCAAATTTCAAATGAAAATTTTTTCACATAGCTGTATTGATATGTTGCCAAGTCAACTGTATCAATCACAAATGCTGAAGAAGTCCATGGAGGGAGAAATGACTTCAGGTGTTGTAATCTAGCTAAAGCTTCAGAGAGGAGGTAAGATTCGAACTGACCTATAGGTCAGTGCAACAGTGCAAACAGATTTTCTGAAAGTCACCTCTACATTTCTTCAGTTGAATGTTGCAGAGGAACATAAATTAAAGCCTGAGTGATAGGATTCTCAGAGAGACAGTCAGGAAAGTTGATTTGTCACTTGGTATGTACATCAGTCTTAGTCCATTAAGGTGCTATAGCGAAATACCAAAAGTTGGGTGACTTATAAGCAACAAATATTTTTTTCTCACAGTTTTGAGACTGGGGAGGCCAAGATCAAGGCACCGGCAGATTCAGTGTCTAGTGCCTTCTTGCTGTGTCCTCACATGGCAGAAAGAATGAGGGATCTCCTAGGGCCTCTTTTATAAGGGCACTGATCCCATTCATAAGAGCTTCACTCCCATGACCTAATCACCTCCTAAAGGCCCACCTCTTCATACCCTTACATTAGGGACTGGGTTTCAACATATGAATTTTTGGGCAGACACAAATATTCAGACCAGAGTAATCACATTCTGGCTTATGCGCCACCTCAGTTTTGGAATTGGTCTACTACAACAGAGAATCATAACACTGAGTTAGAGCTTTCATAACCTTGCTTCTTTTCTTTAAGAACAAAAGGTAATTTTATGTTATGATTAAGATCATGGGTTTTGGCATACCTCAATAAAATATCACCTTTGCTGCTTTCTAGCAAAGTGATCTCGGGAAAGCTTCATCTGTAAAACAGGTATAATACTACTACTGTGGAGATTAAGGTGATAACTTGTGCAAAGTGCTCAGCATATTATTTAGCCCACAGCAAACATTTTCTAAAAGCATCACAACTTTTAAAGCAAATTCTGCACATGACAGTACCCTTTATACATTTCAGTGATGTGGTGTTGTGAGTTTAATCACAAAGGAAAGGGCCCAAATTATTTCTGCTTTTGGAAGGACACATCTAAGGATAAGCTCTTTCAAAAAGTTCCTACAGTTCACCTCCCCCTGATTTATGAGGAATCTTTTATTCAGTATGGTTTTCTTTTTTGCAACTGGTTTCTGTTGGGACAGAACATGGGAATATCACAGACACAGCCACATATTGTTGCGCCCTATAAAAGGGAGAAGAGGGGGCTGAAATTAGTCTAACTGTGCATGTTTGCTTGAAGTTGCATCTACCTCTAGAGGGTACCTTTTCCTAATTCTTACAGAGACATTCATATGGGCTTTCAATGCCCCTTCTTCAAACTTTTCTTCAACACTTCTGAAAAGTGGGCATGTAATCTCAAATAGAGCACCATCAGTGACAGGAAACCCACTACCTATCATATATTACATTATATTTTGTGGCAGCTCAGTTTACTTTCTAATAATCATCATCCTTTGTTCAAAGTTCCATGGTCTGTGGCCACAGAGCATGGATCTTGTTATCTGACAGCCCTCAAAATATTTGGCAATAATTAACATGTCCCCCATGATTGTCCCCCTAACATCGTTCTTCTCCCACCTGTCTCCAATCCCTTCAGTTACTCCTCTTGTGGCATGCCTTCC